CCCTTTCTTCTGTTTCTCTTTCTATTTATCCTTTGCTTACTATATAGAGAAAATTTCAGCTTATAGTATTTAAATAAATATGGTAGTCGATTTTCTGCATCAACTTGGCTAGGCTGTGTCCTCAATTATTCACTCAAACAGTAATTCAAGCTTTGCTGAGAAGATATTTTATAGATACGATTAAGGTCCAAAGTTGGTTGACTTTAAATAAAGGAATTTTCTTCCATAACTCATGTGGGCCCAATTTAATCAACTAAAAGGTTATAAAGAGCAGAATTGAGTCTTTCCCGAGGAGGGAGAAATTCTGCCTGTAGGCAGCAGCTTCTAGACATCTTCCAGAGTTCCGGTGACCAGCACTATGGATTTTGGACTTGCCTAACTAGCACCCATAATAGCACAGGCAATTCCTGCAAATAATCTCAATACATGTTTTCTCTTAGCCCTTATTTCAATTGAGCCCTGACAAAACATTAGGTGTATTTTAGCTTCTTCTGATAGACTGAGTGAGAATAAAGTGAGAGAGAAAATCAGTAGATATCTGATTGTCAAATTACCTTACTTTAGAATTTTACTTACTTTAGGAATCTCAGGTCAGTTAAATAAGGAACACTGAAAAACTAAACTGAGGTCCAAGCCTACAAACTGCTTAAAAGACCCACATATATGGTAACTGATTACATTTTGGAGTAATAATTATACTTATTTTCATACACTAAAATGACAAGTAACAGTTTCTTATACTCTAAAATGTACTTTAGAATTTAATTTAGAAAATAATGGCTGGTGAAATTTTATTAGGTAGAGATAGAAATCTTTATATAAAGAATATCAGTTAACTGTTTCAAACATTTTCTAGGTAAAGAAATAAAATCACCCATAGTCCAAATGCAATTAACTATTAGGGTCTATGATCACACTAACATCAGTAGCTACTTTCATGTTGTAGGTTCTATATTGTTGAGGAACTAATGAAAGACTAAAAATCCCTGAAGAATTAAGGAAACTTTGGAGCATTTGCCTACTTGTGATATAGGCCTGTGTAGCTGATCATCTTGCTGGCAATGGCATTTGCACTGCTCTTTCACTGATGGCAATTGCAAGAATCCTGGCGTGTATATATATGTGTGTATGAGTGTGTGTATGTATATGTATATGTTTACGCAGCTCAGCATACCTAACTGCTAGAAGTAAGAGGAGGGGATGGGTGATACTAAGAAATCAATTGACCTCTAGCAGGAACAGTTCAGCTTCTTCAAAGGTGGGAGGGATACTCAATGGGAAGTATGTCCCATGCACATAAGTTCCTATGATCTGACAGCATCACTCTATAGAACAACATCAAAGTCATTATTTTTTTTAATACTTTGGTTTTTTTTTTAACTCTTTTTTTAAAATTTATTTATTTGTACAAGAACTGGAGTACTGGTCAGAGACCTGGGTGAGAGAATTCACCAGAGACAGAGCGGGAGAGAAGAGGCAGATGGATCAAAGACACTGCTGAGCGGAGCAGTGGGCGAAGCAGGAGAGGTCTGCCATGCCCTGTGGGTTTCTTCCTGGCTGGCTGGGAATCGAACTCATACTGCAGAGGCTGTGGACAGCTTTATAGTGCAGTGCTCAACTCGTTGCACCACTAAGGAGGCCCATCAAAGTCATTCTTTTTTTTTTTTTTTGAACATAAACATCAGGTTTTCTTTCTTGCTTTCTTTTTTAAAAGATTTATTTATTTATTTATACAAGCACTGGGTACAGTCAGAAGCGCGGGAGGGAGAGAGAATTCACCAGAGCCAGAGAGGGGAGCAGAACAGACAGACTGACGAAATACACTGCTGAGGGGAGCAGCGGGCGGCAGGAGAGGTCTGTGTGCCTTGTGAGATCCTCGCCTGCGGCCAGGGATCAATCGAACAGGCGCTGCAGAGACTGCGAGCAGCTTCACAGCCCAGCACTTACCCGCTGTGCCATCAGGGGAGGCCCATCAAGGTCATTCTTAATGGGAAGAGCTGTAGGTATATTATGTCCACATGAGAAAATGATAACAATGGAGGCTACTGAGGGTTATTTTAGAGATTAAATATCAATTTTTGTGAAAGAGCAGTTGTCATTTACCACATTTTTGATAATATTAACAATATTCGATTTATATCTTGGTTCTTGTCTAGGCCAGGTTCTCCAGGAAGCAGATACTGATATGAAGGTATGAATACAAGAGAATTATTAGAGAATTAGCATCTGTGAAAGGAACAACATTTGGATAGTCTCTCCTAGTTCAACAGGAAGCTCTGAAGCAAAGATTACACCTTGAAGGGATACAGTGTCAGACAAAATCATCTAGATTTGTCCCACTGCCTTGTTCAGTCTGAGCCAGGTGCTACCCTGAAAATAGCACAACCTTGGCTTAAAAGCTGAAACGACAAATCTAACAGCTGGAGACTGTTGGTTCATCACATTCCTTATACCTACACAGTGTGTGCTTCTTGACAGGAAATCCCAGGTCTGGCCCAGTACTGCAGTGTGACAGTGGTAAAATTTTGGGTGGTGCAATTTTTGGAAATGACTATGGATTAGGTCACAACAAGAGGTGTTAGCAAAGTGCATTAAAATTCTAGAATTCCACTTGAGGTAGCTTATAACAGTGTACCACCGCTCATTCTTTAGGACATCAAAATATTATAGGTTGTTGATTAAGGGCTTTCAAATGATAAGGATATTATTACTCTTATTTCATCCCAATTAAGTTACTCCTAGTGGGACAAGTCAGGCCCTCTGCTTGTGTCCAGGTCACACTGCCATAGTAGTGAAAAGGGCAAAAGGAGCTCAAAAATGTCTCTTTTGGGGATGATGTAAAAGAATCATTTGTTTCATATAGATTGAGAAGGTGTGATCTTAGGAAGTCAGGTTGGCTCTTTGTGATGCATAACTATTCATCACTATTTTTTTGGCTTTTGCACAAGTTTCACATGGTCATAGACTACAAGGAGAGACAGGATTTTTTTTTTTTTAAGAATGGATTATATTACAGTGCTTAATATAACAATTAATACAAAAGAAGTGGTGGATGGAGTCTGTGTCTACTTGCTAGTGATTTGAATTTGGACAAATTCCTTAACTTCTCTATGCTTTAGTTTGCTGAAGATTCTTGATTTGCTGAAAAGGAATTACACATGGACCTACACCACAGAGCTGTAGTGAGGACAAAGTGATATAACACAAGTGCTGTCCCTGGCTCAGTTTCTCTTTGCTGTTATTGAAACTGGAGCCACGCAAGCAGCACAAGCTGCGGAGCAAGGCTAGCTCTTTCCAACCACCACTTAAGCACCCTCATCACTGGAAGAGTAATAGAGGTTTTCTGCCCGTGCCAGAAGCAGCTGTTTGTGGGACGTGCAAGCAACAGTGGGTGATGGGCACTTACTGTCCACCACCACTGGCCCCACTGGGATTCAGGTTGAGGCAGAGGCTAGCAGTGATGATGGACAGCAGTGGTCCCCCTACCATGGCACCCCAGGGCATCAAACCCCCCATTCAAGGATGCAGGGAGAAGCATGGGGTACCACTGGGCCAGCTCCAACACTTGGCTGCCTCCAGCTGCAGGCAGTAGAGTTACCTAAGGAATCTCGAGCCAACATGGGGGTTCCCAGGGGAGCCCACTCTGCAGTGCTGCTGCATACTCTCCCCACACCCCGCTTTACATTGTTTTACCAGGCCCCATTGCAGGGCTACCAGTGCAGTGGGCCTCAGGCCCCACTGAGGCCAGTTCTGGCTGTGCTCCTTGGGGCCCACCAGTCCATGAGCCTGTCCTGAGGTAAGGGCAGGCCAGTTTTGTACACGCACCAAGTTTTCCGTACTTGATTCCTAAATCATAGAATCGATTGATCAGGTGCAAGGTATGAATTGATTGGTGTTAAATGGTTCAATCAACCATAGGATTATAGGTAGGAGACCCTGAAGAAGGATATAAGGTAGGGCAGGTGCCAACTGAGGATTCACTTGGACTCTGTTTCTGGCCTCTGAAGAAAAACGACTCTGTTCCTTACCTCCAAAGAAGAAAGAAGCATCTAGCAGCTGACCTCCAAACAAAGAAGAGAAACTGAAAGCTTTGCAGAGAGCCTAAGAGCTCTGCAGAGGCAGGACACCGCTACATCTCCCTCCTGCCCTGCCTCTGATATTATCTGAAAGGAGCACCAAAGGTCCGGGCTGGTGTCTCAAAGAGCTGTTTATTGTTGGTGCAGGCCAACAACTCAGAAAAAGCTGTAACACTAGTATTTTTGATACTGCCTCCTGGTGAACAGTGGTGACCGGCATTACTGGCAGTGGTACCCAGCACTGTTGATGGTTAGCCAGCACTCTGTGTCTAGGTCACCTTTTGAAACCTGTTAATCACTTCTGATTGTCCAGTACTACCTCTTGGTATTGCTAGCTCTGTTGCTATCTGGTCCATTGTCCAGTGCTGTCCATCCCATTCTGCAGAATGTTGCTGTGGGCTGCTGTGGTATTATCTCAGCGGCCCACCTTTCAGCACCTTTAGCTGTGGTGAGTTGGTTCCTGGCCTGCTACTTGCCAGCGTGCCACAATCTCCAGGCCCTCATTGATGGGACAAAGCCATCTTAAATGAGCAGCCTTTTGTTTAGGACTTACAGACAACTGTGGATGCTTTATGGGTGAGATAGCTGGCCATTGTGGCCTTAGTAACTCTTTTTTTGTTAAGGAAACCTATTGTCATTGTTCCCTGAGCCTGGGTGATCTTGCAATGGTGAGCTCAGGTGAAAATCCACAGCAGTGACCTGTCCTTTAATGAGTGGCACTGTCCTTGTATGTCTCAAGTCCTACTGTAGCTCTGTCCCAGCACTCTCTTATTATCAACTCTTTCCACTCTTCCTATGCCCCTCTTGACTGAGAATACACTTTCATTTTGAATTTTGTCACCTGCTGTGCTACATTAGCAAAACATTCACAAAACCTGGGAGAAGAGTGGAATTGAAAGAATGTTACCTTATCCAGAATGTTACCTTATGAAGATGTTTTAGGTCAGGTCTTGGTTCTCCCAGGTCTTAGGTTCTCAGTACTGTGCTGGGTGTGAAAAAACAAACAGCCTTTGAGCTGAGCAGCAGTCCATTTGAAAAACAAGTAGAGATAAGTGATTAGTTAAAATGCAAGTGCATGTAAAATTAAATTCTAAGTAAATTATATAGACCAAAGTGATAGAGGAAGTTAATTTCATTTTGCAGATACTGACTTATTTTGATTATTGAAAGTTGGTAACATTTGGGGTGAAATTGTGAGGGTGAGCGCTTGCACAATAATGCCAATAAAATGTTACATGAGGGTTATTTTAGAATCTAAAATATAGTAAATTTGGTCGAAGAAGGAAGTTTAAAGAAATTAAGTATATCTTGTTAGCCTTTCTTTACCACTAAATGAGTCAAGATGGCAAAAATAGGAACAATTGGACAATGCTTTGAATAATACTCTAAGGACAGCATATTTTTTAGTTGATGATCTCTCAATGCGTTCCCATCCTTATTGTATTTTTGCTATTTTAACCAGTTGTTCAGTTTCATCCAGTGGCCTTCTTCATTCTCAGAATTTCCTTTGGATATTCAGGAGGGAAGTAAAAAATATAGCTGGACCAGAAACGTGGGATTATAGTTTCCAGAGTACAGAAAACAAACCCTTCAGTTAAAAGGTACTTTACACTGCTCCATCATTCTCTTCTACTTGCGAAAGAACATGTTTTGTGCCACGCTGGTGTGGTCAATCACACATGGAGATCGTCTTACAACGTTGCACACAAAGTAATCCATTACTATTAAATCCTTCAGAATTACTGATGTATGATCATAAAATTGAGACAGGGCAAGCTAGGGTTATTAGGCAGTTTTAGGGATAGTGCAGGAGGGGACCTCTGAAGAATTTAGGGAGGCTTCAGAGATAAGGACAACCAAAGAAATATAACCAATTCCATTGGGAAAAACAAACATGCCAGGACCAAGGACAACATTGTTAATGCTGGTCCTGGTTTCCTTCAGGTGGTAAAGGGAGGCGGAGATTGGAGAAATGGAGAGTGGTTTAATTTATGGTCACATTAGAAGGGCAGCTGTTTAACTTCAATGCAGGGATGCCCATCCAGAGGACTGGGCCATAAAGATAAAGATACAACAAATGGGGAAAGACAGACCTACTAGATAAGGAATGTGAAGATCCCTACTCAGTAGCAAATTAAGTGAGACAGCCGAAAACTGACCAATCACAGAGAGACTGGTGGAGTTTTAGAATAATGAGGGAAAAAAGGTATATATTCCCTGAAACACAATTCCACTTTGGCTTCCTTGCCCCTCCCAGGCCTGGTTCCCTGGCCTGGGAGTCCCACTTTATTTCTGCTCTTTTCCTCCTCAATAAACTTTTTCTTTCTATAAACGAACCTGCCTCTTCTCGCTTGCTTGCCTGAGCGTCTGCGAAGTTCCTGCTGCGGCTTCGTGAGACACCAACCCTGCGGGGTCTAGTGGCTGGGACTCAGCGCTGCCCTGCAGCCTGGGATCCGTTTCTGGCTGGGAGACTAGACCTGACAATTCCGGTATCAAAATCGACTTCACTGCACTATTTTCTAGTCTCCTTCCAATAACCTAGGACTCCTAGAGTTCTCGCCCCTCGGTGAGATACGAGAGTCCAACTGAAGAGTCTTACACCAAGAGGGAGACAGAATTTTTTTTGTTTTGGTTAATATCCTTAAGTCACTAATGGTTTTGAACAAGCGTTTTAGGAATGTCCCAGAGACAAATCTCCCTGCGTTTTCCTAGGACGGGTGACTAATCAGGGGAAATGTTGAGTAAGCCGGTGACCTGCCCTCCGGTGTTCTAGGAACGCGTCCCCTCCCACCTCGACTTTGGTCGGCAGGTATGACTGCGCACTTGCCGGTGCCTGCACGAAAGCCGCCCAATAGAAAAGGCCGATCAAGGCCGGTTACATATTCTTTCCGCTCCCTTGGCCACCGCCTACCGCCGACGGGCTGACAACCGAGCCCGCGCCCCCGGCCTGGGCTCACTTTTCCATTTCCTCCCACTCGCGGGGCGGATGGGCCGCCGGAGAACGCGGGGCGCATGCGCCGCCGCCCCGCGCATGCTCAGTGGTGCTCGCGGCGCCCCGGAGCTTCCCCAACGAGCGGCGGTCGGCGCGGAGGTCTCCGCGGCCGCTGCGGGAGCGACAGGAAGTGAGGCGGCCCCGCCGGGCGACCGCGGCGGAAGAACCGGTGGCGGAAGGGGCGCCGCGGCGCCGACGTCGTGGACCGGGGTGGCCGAGGGGGCCGAGCGCCGAGGGGACTCGCCGGCTGGGAAGCCGGATCCCGAGCCGGGCAGGATGGATCATCATCAGCCGGGGACCGGCCGCTACCAGGTGGTGAGTTCCCGGCCCCCGCCCCCGCGCCGCCCGGGACCCCTGCGTGTCCCCTGCGTGTCCCCCTGCGTGTCCCCCTCCGTGCCCCCGAGTCCTTCCCGCCGGGTGTTCACGGAGGCGACGTGCTGGCGGCGTTGTTTGGGGGCTCCTGGCCGGAGCTGCGTCCTTCCCACCTCTCCAGTGGAGCCTGCCTGTCATTGCGTCCCTGCGCCCCAAAGTCCTAGCTCTGCACCCCTCTCCTGCGGCCTCGTCCCCGCAGGGAGACACCCTCCACCCCCATGCAGAAATCTGTTTTATTGCTCACATTCCTGATTCTTTCTAACCATTCCCTGACCCAGTCACCTCTGAGACATTCCAGGGGATTGTTTACTGCAGACGGTGCTGACTCCACTTACCTGCGGGAAGGTGATCGCCGTCACAAACGGGGTGGGGAGGCGGGGAGAGGTGAGCACCTCGAACCTGGGGGGGGGGGTAAAAAATGGGGATTTAGGAAGAAAGAGGTTGAAATTTGTTCAGCTGTAGATAATACTCATGGGACTCCTCTCGTTTCTCAGTTCTAGTTCACCTTGTCATGTTGTCCTTTTCCATTTTGTTAGTTTTGAAAGTGACTTCTTTTTTCCATTCCCCCACATTTTTTTTTTTTCTGGTAAAACAAAGTTTTGCCAGAAAGCATACCAGTCTTGTTTGAAAAATGTGTTATCGTAAAATACGAGGTCTTATACGGTGCCAACATAGAAACCATTGTAACTTGAAGCGAGTGAAAATTGTTCTGTATTTTCAAGGCCCTTTTTTATACCTTTTTTCCCTTTTAGTGTTAATTCTGGTGGTGTCATTGGGGATTTCTATTGAAAACTCTATTTAAAAAATGAACTGTTCTTTTGCATTCCGTAGCATGCTCTTCTAGAAACTTTCAGGTGGCCATTTAGTTAAACCTGTTTACCGAGGGAGAGAAGAAAAGTAATAGGCAGTTTTGAAGGTGCAATTACTAGCACTGTTCGTAAAATTTTTGTACTGTTTGTGAAATGTAGATATATTAGTGCAGAGTTCACCTTTGCAATCTCTTTGTACACGTGAAACATGGGAACTAAGAAATTCAACTAGTAAGTGCATTTTTGACAATTTCAGAATATTGAAAGACGAGATTCCAATGTATGTGTTTGCATTTTTCAAAGGAAAAAGATCGTGACCCTTCATTTTATCTAGTTTACGTTTACATCTTGTAAAACCTCCAAATGATCTTTATTCTGAATTCTGTCAAAATTTATTGGAACATTTTAAATGATTTGCTGCTAGTATGGAAGACATTTTTTAAGTTGTGTATACACTTCTGTTGGTTTGAATGTTTTTTTAAAAGATACACGTATTTTTGGAAATGTTACAACAGTAAAGTGCTATAGGTAAATTTTGAATTTCATTACCAGTTTAACTTATTTTTTTCTAATCTTCTTCTCTTCACGGTCATTAGCTAATTTGAATTCTTTCTCTTGAGGAGGTTTGTTTATCAGAATCAACCACATCCTCATCCAGCTGTATTCTCATGCAGCCGAATTCTTACTCATACGAGAGCTGATGAACTGATGTAGCAGCAGTGATACATTGCCACGTTTGCTTTTAGTAGTTAAGATGACTTGATTTAATTATTATTTTACAGAATTCCTAATACCAAAATACTGAAATTTGCACTCAGTCTTAGGATATTTTCTTTTTTTCTACAACTCCTTTCAAAATAAGTGTACTGTATCATAATTGCCTCCTTTATTTCATACTGGAGATGTGTCCTACATCGACTTTGAATGGGTGGAGACAGTCCTTCAGCACAGAGGGCAAAAATCAGTCCTGCTGATGATAATACTTTAAATAGGTAGAACATCAATTTCTTTTCCTAGTAAGGCAAAATGTGAGAATCTTAGCACAGTTTAAATTAGAATTTTAATTCCTAAAACTGTGTAATTATATAGTAATTTCATCTGTCTAGTAAAACACTTGGATTGTCGGGTCAGTATCTCAATCTAGGTACATGAAAGAGAAGCAGCTGAATTGGGCCCAGTCTGTAGCTCTGGATTATATGATGGGCGCAACTGTTGTGTGGCTGATTTTAGCCCAGTATTTTATTTTCAAAGCTCTGAATGATTAGTAAACTTGAGCATTCAGCAACTCCAGTTGCTAAATGTTTAGAGATGACTTAAGACATGGGGAGGTATACTTAGGATCAGTGTTAGTTTATCCCCAGGTGAAAGAGGTAAAATGTAGCTTTCCATGTTGGAAAGTTAGTGGTGATCCGCAGGGCATCAGAATGACTACCTTTAACAAATGTGCCAGCTCTATGTGGAACCTGCTTTGTCTTCTTCATTGTTAAAAGGGTCTAAATTTTTTTGAATAGAGCAGTGGATAAAAAACATAGAGCTACAAAAAGCTTTGATTGTTACCATTCTGAAAAAGCCAGGTATGTTATGTAGTATCACTGTGTTATGGGAAAATCAGTTTCCTTTGGTAGGAAGTGAGCAGTGTTTCCAAACTGTGAAGTAGTTTACTTGGTTTAGAGCTGTTAGGCCACATTCTAACTTTGATGTTCTCTGTTTTAAAGGATTATGTATTGTACCTAGCTGTCTACTAAAATTTCAAAGGCATTAAATTGGCAGTGTTGGTTGTAGCAGTATTTTCCCAAACTTTATCCTGGAATTATGATAATAGAAGTACTTGTAAGATTTATAATAGATGCATAATATTATATTAGATCTAATATATGCATTATTATAGTGCATATATAATATGTATTTTATATCAATATAGTATATATTATGTTATAAATATTTATTTGCCTATTAAAACCATGAGAAATTTTGCATTAAAGACATGGATCATATTTGTTTAGCTCATCCTAAATTTTGATCACAGATTAAAAAATTTAAAATAGTATATTAACATTTTCTAAATGTTACTATTTCTCATGAACATAACAAAATATTTGTACTGCTAACGTTTCAATACTTAGCTTTATTATCCAGAAAATTAGAGTTGCCCCTAATAAATTGGCTGGATAGGAGGTTGACTATTAATGGTTAAAAAGCACAAGTTTTCATCTGGGCTTACATCTGGGTTGTGTTGTTTACAAGTTATGAGCCTTTGACATAGTTATTTAGCCTCTTGAGGGCTCAGTTTCCTCATATTAGTAACTATCTCGTTAGGATTATTGTGAGAAGTAACTTTAATATATGTAAGAGATATAGTGTAGATAGAAGTACCTGATAAATACTGTGACTAACATGAGGCAAATAAACTAAAATATATGTAGTTCAGTTTTTGCTGGTGACGTGTTTAGGCCTCCTCTTTTGTTTAATTATGTGAGTGTCAGCTAGTACTTTGTTGTACATACCAAGAACAGGAAAGTCTTAAGTTGTGATTTTGCCATATTGCAAGCTAATTAGCCTGTTAATGTTTCATCGTTACTGGCAGAAACAAATGTGGAGGTAAGAAAGAAATGACATTACTTACAGCTCAGCAAGGAATCACATGAATCTGCATATTTGTATAGTTTTTCCTTGCAGCCAGGTCCCTTGAGGGTGATGGGTGCAGGTAGTAGTTTACAACTCAGGAACTCAGGACTAAGGGTACAGCAATTTTTTTTTTTTTAAAGCAAGCAGTAAACAGTATAGCAAACAGCAGACAAACTAGTTGATCTCTCCCCTCTCCCTGGTTGGTTTAGTTACATATTGTGTAACCTTAACCTTTTCTGCTCCTGTGTGACTTATTTCAAGAATCCTCTCTGTATCAGGAAATGGATAAACTATGTCATACTCAGCAAGAATGTGCAGGGACATTCCAGGCCCATGATAGACTATCTTAACCAATAGCACATATTGTGGAAGAGATACTATATATGGTGATTTTTAGGTGCAGTACTTTTTCATTTTAAAGAAATACTGCTATCTTTGTTACTCTTGAGTTATTCCCTTTTTTTTTTTTTTGTCCAACTTGATTCCTTTGATCTTTACTGTTTGTTTCTTTTTAACTTACCAGTATTGTTTATCTGATTTATATTCTTACCACACCTCATTTGCATCATCACGGTTGCCCATTGCTTAATCTAATAGGTACTTTTCAGTTCTGGTCTTGCTTGACTACTCTGTTACATCTACACTGACCTCTCTCCTTGAACCATCTTCCTAATTCCTGATACCAAGAATAATTCTGCTCTTCTCTGACTTTTATCCTCTTTGTGAACTCAGTTTGTATTTCTTAAATGTTGATGCATTCCATAGCATGTACTATATTGTAATAGACTATTTACCACTTTCTTCCTTCATCTGATTACCCTTTCTTTAGTGTATCATTTACATGGTGTAAATCATATTTATGGAATATAAATTGATTTTTATTTCTTTGCTCAAAAACTTCACTGTCCCTTTTTGAATTCCTCCCTCCTTATTTAACGTTAAAACTTTCAAATTTTAGAAAGTTTGAAAGACTTGTACAGTTAATTCCCATATGTACATGGTCTACAAATGTATATATATATGGGGCCTCCCTGGTGGCGCCGTGTGTTGAGCGCAGCGCTGTGAAACTGTCTGTAGCCTCTGCAGCATGCGGGTTCGATTTCCTGCCTGGCTAGGGAGATACACACATGGTGCGGCAGACCTCTCCTGTCTCGCCTGCTGCTCCCCTCAGCAATGTTTTCGGTTGTCTGCCTGTTCTGCTCCCCGCTTTGTCTCTGGTGAATTCTCTCACCCTCCTGTGCCTCTGGCCAGTACCCCAGTTCTTGTATAAATAAATAAATCTTTAAAAAAAATTCAAATCTTTAAAAAAAAAATGTATATGTATGGCCAAATGTATGGTCTGCAGTTGCAAATAGTTTGCTGTATTTGTGTTATTGTAATCTGTCTTATTTTTTAATGCTTTCAAAGTAAATTGCAGATGTCAGCATACTGCAAACTATAAACTGCATGCTTATTAGTCTCGAGTTTAGTATATTTTTTAATGGTTCTTTTTTAGGGTAAAACTGGTAC